CGTTAGCCGTAAAGTGATTGGCGTTATATTTGTGCCAAATTAACTGTGTTTTAGTAATAAATTGTTTTTCGCACCCGTCATAATCGCACGGGTAGGGCAACGGCAAGTGGTGAACGGCGTGATTGTGACGAATGAGATCCAGCGGTCGCCGTAACCACTTGTAGCACAGGTGACACTTGTTGGGCGAGTTGTGTTCGCGACGGTGGCTCTTGAGCCGCCACTTTGTGTAATAGCTTTTGCCGCAGCCCTCGTCTGAGCACCGGTACGGCTGCGGCACGGAGTGGACACCGTGTCTGTGTTGGTTCAGGTCTTCAAGCCTTTTGAATGATTTATCGCAGTCGCGGCATACGTTTGTCCAGCGCTTCGGTGATGGCTCAGCGATCGCAAGGGTAGTATTGGTGACAGTATTCTCAATGATGGCGGCGGCACTGGTGGTGGTGATGGACAACCTGTCGGATCAAATATAACATTATAACAATTACTGACACATTGAGTGACATAGTGTAAGAAATACCTGTCATGGGATGTGCTGTCAAGGGATGTGCTGTCATGGGATGTGCCGGTGCTCTCGGAATCGGTAGTATCGGTGACAGCGCTATCATCGGTGGACGCGTCGAACGGCCTGTTTGTCGGATCAAATAACGTTACAATACGAGTGCATACGTATGCGTGCAATGAGTATTAGATATACCCGTCACTAAAAGCGCAGTCTTCAGGTGCGGAATCGCTGTCGAGATCGATAATCGGCGGACAGGACGTGACCGGATGGCCAGGGGCGGCACTGGGCGGTCGTTTCGGCGCACATATACTACTAAAATACAAAAAATATTCAATTAATACACAATTTATTAAAACAATTTCATTGCAAAACAAAAATACTTGTGAAACAAGTTGTCATTATTAGTGTTTTTAAGCATCACATGTATGTCCCGCACGTGTATATCCAACAGCGCCTGATTGGCGAACACGTGTTCGCACGGGCGGCACACGTAGCCGTACTGGCGGGTCGTCGAGTGGGCGCAGGCCTTATGGTCGGCCAGATTGGCCGCAAACAGAAACGTTTGGTCGCATTCATCGCATTTGTATAGCGGTTGCGATTGTGAGGTATGTGTTGGACGACCAGTGCCTGCGCTGTCAACGTCGCTGTGGCCACTCGATGGCTGATTATCCCACTCTTTGGACGCTTCGCCACTCATTGAACATCTATTTAATACAATTAAAAAAACAACCATTTGTTTAGTGTTTAGTTAATTGTTAGCAATTGATTGTAATGTTAATATCAAAAACACATACTCATTGCTAATAGTGTTAGTTATAGTGTTATCAGCGCTGCGTTCACTGTCAGTAGGTATGGGCGTCAGCACCGGCTTTAAGAGGTCCAGAACAGGCCGTACGGGCGATGGATCAGCCCTTTCCGTGATGAGCACCGGTATGTCGTTAATGAAAGTGCCGGTTGTGTTGTCAGTATCGTTGGGCACCGATATGTCATTCATTGGCAATACATCGGCGGTTGAATCGCTGTTTTAGTGCAATATTTAACATGCATTTTAAAAACAACATTTATCATGATTAAAGTGAAAGCGTATAGCAATAAGCATAAGCATAATATACTGTGTTTAGACAGCCCGAAAAAAGTATCAAGATCACACGTTAAACAACCAAGGTTAAAACACCGCAAAATAAAACCAATTAAAGCATTTAAAGCATAATAAGAAAAAATTAAGCAAAAAAAGTTTAAAAACAAAAAATTTGATTTTATTTGAGAGCAAAAACATTGGTTTTTTAAACACATGGTGCGAATGATGACCAGTAGTGTTGACCAAATAATAAACAATTAAAAAATTATCAATTAAATTAAGCATAAATTAGAAAACAATTAAAACAATATTATGGCAAATGATATGCGAGAGAATGAAGCAGTAAATGCTAAAAACAAATTAAATAATTAATTAAATTATAAATTTTTAGGTAAATTAATTAAATTATGATTTATAAGTAAATGATTCAAATTATAAGTTGTAATTAAATCATGAGATTTTAAGCAAATTAATCAAAACGACTACAACTGTCCGCACAATCACTCATACATCACATACTTATTGGATTTGTTGAACATCGGGGCGGCGGCGGTGGCCGTGGATGGGCTGTCCCGCGCGGCCGACGCGCGCTTATCGTCACGTTTGTGGGAACGGGACATATGGCTCTCCAGTTCTGAATAATTGGTATACTTTTCGCTGCAAACATTGCACACATAAGTACTGTCTTCGGACCTATTATTGGTGATCAAAACAAAACAATCATTAGATTGTGTCAAACCATTAGTGGCGACATATCATACCTGTAGGACCAGTTGAAAGCGGAGGCCATGTCCTGTCCGGCGGACCGATACCAACACCGGAGCCGGTGTTGGCGTAACTTTTCCGGCGTATCGGACGCCCAATTGCAGCCCTTGTTATGACACGCGTACGGATAGTGCTTTGCTATCTCGTGCTGCCTCAGCAAACCCTTGGTCGCGTAGCCAATCATATCGTCGGTAACGCCGCACGGCTCGAGACGGCACCGGTACGGGTGGTCCACGTCGTGGGCTCTAAGCCGATGCAGATTCAGCAGCCGCTCGGACTCGTACCGCCTCTCGCACTGTCCGTATCGGCACCGGTAGCGATAGATACGCGGGCGGTGTTTGTCCCGTATGTGTGCCGCTAGTGGGGACTCTTTGGGGTACCGGCGTTCGCAGCCGTCCCAATAGCACCGGTAGGGCCGGCGTACGCCGTGTCGGCACTTCTGATGTCGTTTGAGTTGACGGTCGCGACCGTAGGTTTTCGTGCATTTATCGCATTTGTATCGCTTCTCGCTGTAGGTCACGGTATGGCCCGACGTGTTGGTCGTCGTCTTACATGTCGTGGTTTTAGTGGTCTTAGTCTTAGAGGTCTTTGTCTTAGATGTTGTTGTCTTAGATGTCGTTGTCTTAGATGTCGTAAGCTTCGAGGGTGTGTTCATTGAAGACGTGGACGGCGTTGGCGTTTCCCGATCCGTAGATTCACTCAGAAAACTGTGTGTCATTTAGT